GATGTGGTGTTAACAAAATTAAAAGGGAACCTAAATAATGTATTTTTTCTCAATATATTTTACGACACGTCAAGATTTTTAGGGATGGACTATGGAAAGTGAATATGGCCGCCACAACTGTATCCTTTTAATTTTAACTTAACCATAAAATCCTCTTGACAAAATTAATTTATATTGCTAGCATGAGTTATTAATATTACTATTCATTTGAATACAATTTTAAAAAAATCCGCATAAACACAGCCTACACGTTCCTTAAAAATCCTTAATGACAGCTGTTTAGGCAGGCAAAATCAGTTCCTTAAAACTACAAAATGATTTTTGAACTTTTAATTCGTTATAACTTCAGCAAGACGTAAAATCTGTGAAATTTTTTCGATCAGTTAAAGCAAATTCTCTTGAAATGATGTTTTTAATACTTTTATGGAAGAAGTTTTATAGTTTCAGCTTGATCATTTACACTAGCAGTTTCATTAGTTTTTATCATTAGTCCATAATGACCTAAGCAACTTGACTGTATTTTTGATACTTATAGTGTCATTATAATTTTATTTCCATGGTTATAATTTAAATTTGGATGTTGTATGCATGTATATTAATATTTTAGTTTATAATCGTAGCATGATAATAATTTTTAAGATTTACAACAAACAGTTAGCTTCTAGTAAGTAACTAAAGCACCGTAAATGCTGCATTAAAAATCAACAAGTTTCGATATTCTGTATCATACTTAGGTTATCAGTGTTTTATTGTCAAACACAAAGCTACAGAATGGTCTGTTGGGGCTGAGCACAATTCAGGTTTCGAAACCCGATTTTTAGCGTTATAAGTCCTCACACTTATCGCTAAGCCACCTGGGGCTCATAGTCAGGATCTTAATAATTCATCCGTTTTTGGTAATTACATTTTAAAATCCCACTGAAATATTACTCTAAGAACTATCTTAGTAGTTGGTATTTTAATAAAATATTTATTCTTCTAATTATCCAAATTCTCATAATATTGATAATTTATTTTTATAAATCTTCAGTATCATGATAAAAATGGCCTGCTTTACAATGATGCGAATCTTCAAAATATTTATCAAATACTTTTTTTATAACGATCTGAATCTTCAACATCGTATTTAAAATATTAAAAACATATGTACAGTAAAATTTTACTATATTGTTTAACGCCCGTTTATCCTCACAGAATCTCTTCAATTATTCATTTGGAGTTCACTTTGCTGTGAGGGTTAATTATGATCAAAGATGAATATTCGTGTCTGATACCGAGGTCTTAACAGACTACCATTATGGTAGCGCTCATATCTTATTCACAGTATCTGTTAATGAATCTGAGCAACTTCAGTAAATTTGGGTTTTCTTATTTAACATAACTTTGCCAGTTATTTGGTTATAAATAATATAGATTACATGATAATAAATTCAGAAATAGGATGTTAGTAACAGCGTTATACTTCTTAAGGAATTATCTCATCCATTTATATGTAAATTTTCTCACTGTATCTTCTCTACGTATTGGACGCTCTTCTACATTGATTTATTGAACATGTCTTTGCCGAGAAAATAGTCAATCGATGTTTAGGTTCTACTAATTAAACGACAACATACGTATATCAGGCTTGAAATACGGTTTCACATTACACATTTTGAGAGATACACAGTGCAGGTGTAATTAACTATCATTTTCAGGTTACCAAACAAAATAATTAGATCAAAGCATCTTGCTTCGAGGTTTTGGTTATCAAAGTCATCGATTGGAATTTTTACTCATTTTATTTTTAATGTTTTTCCCTTTTGTACTTTCATACAATACCCTGAAAATGGCTCACCAGGACTCATAAAAATGCAACCAAATATCCGTAACGTTTTAACTTCACTGTTTTGTGTTTTTGTATAGAAAATTGAAGTTGGTTTAATTATTAGAGCCTGTAACCTTTAATTCAGTTTCACTGTCTAGGAAAAACATCTTATTTACGTATTTTTCAATGTTTTATTCAACAAGAACCTTCATGTTTATTTTGTCGTTAAGCGCGAAGCTGCACAGTAGGCTACCTTCGTAGAGAACAAACCCCCAAATTTTAGCGTTATGCATGTTATTACTAATTTTATTATGTATTGTTTATTATAAGAAATATATCTTTCAAATAACAGGACGTCGTAAAATGAAACATTTACTTTAGAAAAGATGGTCTAAAGTGAAATATTTGTTTTCTTTGTTAATAAACACAAAGCTACACAGTAAGTAATAAGCGCTATGCTCACTCCATGGATCAAACCCCGATTTTAGTGTTATATCCTGTTAAACTTGCTGCTGAGCAACGATAACCAAGTTCTAAATTGCAATGTATATCATAAAAATCTATAGCAGAAATGATATTTAAAAATGAAAAACACATTAAAAATAATATCATAAAGAAAAGTATTCATAAAAGCAATAATGTCCTAAGTTTGGATCTCATACTAGAAAGAACATTTTTCATTATGAGTATCATTAACAGCAAGACAGCCAAATAAAATTACAAAGACGAGATAATTATATAACAAACCCTTCATTTTCTTTAGTAGTTAAACCGCACACTCAAGAGTACAAATTACTGTGACCATTAGCCATTTTTTCCACGATACGTAGTTCCAGAAATATTCTTTGCCACGCATAATGAATAAAGTGCACACAGATATAAGGACGTCTTCTTTATAATAGGATCATATAATATGTATATGTCCTGTAGATGTAACAGTCTACAGTGTGTCTACATCTTTCGCTATGAAAAGTACCGAACATTTTGTAATAGAATTGGTTACCATAATCATTTACGATCTTTGATTTATCTGAATTTATTTTGCTAATTGTATCTCAATTTATGTTAATAATTACTTCTGATTAATAAATTAATGTAATTTTTCATGAAAATGAGCGAATGCATACTAAGAAAAAACGTTTAAAAGAACGAATTTGAGATGATGCTTTTTCAATGTTGCCTATTATTTAGCCCTCAAATTACTAACGATACGAACTAGTGTTATCACCTTCCACATCTGGTGGGGCTCCAAATACTGCCTCTTATTGAGTAATTCTATGTTTTTGCCTCATTTAATGTAAAAATCTGACCAAAACAAATTAGGAAAAAACAGTCATTTTCTATGTAAAATATATAGAGAGCATCAGAAATAATTAGTGTAATGAATTACAGTATTGAAATATCTTTATTTACATTTTTTAATGGCTCGTAAGTTATTGTAGATGGTATAACTAAAAACAAAGTCAAGGACCCACAAACAAACTGGTACATAAATAGTTTTTAAAACAGACGAGTCCATACACTTTTCCATCGGGAACTCTAGAGTTATATGATAACGTTTTGTAAATATACTTTTATTAGTATTACCAGGACTGGTATAGCCTGGTGGTTAGGGAGCTCGACTCGCAATCTTTGGGTTGCAGATTAGAATCCTATCACCAAATATGCTCGCCCTTTAGTTGTGGGAGAATTATAATCTGACAATCAATCTCACTTTTTGTTATTAAAAGAGTAGCCCAAAAGTTGGCGGTGAGTTATGTTGACTAGCTGCTTTCCCTCTAGTTTATCACTTCCATATTAAGAGCGGCTAGCACAGATAGCTCTAGAGTAGATTTGCGCGAAATTCAACAAACAAACAAACAATTAGTATTACCATAAAAAAGTCAGCAAGTTTCCTAGTTTACAGTGCTAAAATCCGAGATTCGATTCCATGTGGTGGACATAGTGCAGATAGCCAATTATTTAGCTTTATGCTAAAAAGACAACAAGAACAAAATATAAGAACAGTTTCGTTAGATGACATAAAGTGATAGTCATTAAATTTGTAACTCTCCATTTTTGATTCAGAGTGCTTTCTTGTGGCTGACTTTCGCGTGACTCAATCGACTGGAATTGACGTTACCGGAAGTGACGTTACTAATTTTTATGTTTTTAGAATTGAGTGACATAATAAATGAAATTGGTTTTTGAGGTTGATTTCCGGGATGTAAACGTTTTTAATAAAGCAGAAGGTTTAGCGCATCGATCGAAACGTCTTCATCACTCGAGACGATCACCTGTCTAATTTCCTTCAGTGATCCTAGATAGATGACTTCAATCATTTCCTTTTCAAAGTCGTTTGTTTAAAAAATAAGTATGAACGCTAATAATAATTGTAGTCATCTGGCATGTGGAGCGCAGGATTTAATCACTAAAGATACATAACTAGACAAACAAAATGTTAGAAAACTGTCCTTCAAAATCTATTTTTCAATAACTAATACATCATTTACTAATTTTAGCTTTCAGCGTTTATTGCCATTAAGGAAATTCTTTCTGATGGGCTTTTCAGCTTACATACATGTCATATATCAAGTCAAACTATTATAATTACACTTCCTTGATCTCATCTACTGAGTGATCAAAACAGACTCGCAACTGCCCACCTTGAATATATCACGAAACATTACTCTTACATATAAAACTATGTTTTATGAATGTTCATTATGAATTATCAAGGTTGTTTCATACGCAAATTTGCGTATTTATCTAAATATGCATTCCATTTTTAAACGTAAATTATAATTTTACATGGTACCAAAACCTTGTGTGACAAACTGTTTTATCCATAAAAGAAAAGAAAAACAATATTAAACTTGACGCAGCAAGAGAGCTTATGGATGTTATTCTGATTAATAAAATTATTTTACAAATGCTCGATGATACATCTTGATATTTGATAATCAAGAGCATTTTGTATTGGTGGTGTGAGTCTTAAAACATGGAGTTTATGTGTTTTAGTTTGATTTAAATCTTCATAATTTCATAATTTTCTAATATATATAAAGATTAAAGAGATATTGCCAAACTTACAAAAGTCCAGGCATTATACAAAATCATCATTTTCTTCATCACTTTCAAGTTTATTTGAAATTAATGAAAACGATTAATTTTAATTTTAAAGTGTTAATAAAATGTTCTTTCTGTGTTACAGATAAATGGAATAATCACCAACACCGGGCATGGAATTGTCTTTAAGGCCAATTCTACAGCAAAAGCAGAAGCGGTCTACATCAAAAGTGGACCATTATCGTACGAATATCGTGTGGACGAAGTGCATGTGCACTTTGGAAGTTCTGAGAATTTTGGTTCTGAGCACACAGTAGCTGGTCAAACCTTTCCTGCAGAGGTACGTTTATATAAATGTACTACTTTCCTCAAGAACACACAGTATGTGTGGATGTGAGACGTGTCTCAAGAGGCATAGAGTAGGTATGGATGAAAAATGTATACGGTTGAAGCTTTCCTTAAAGAAGTATATGAGGTGTTTGATGAGGAAATTTACTGCAGATGTGTATTAATACCTATCACACGAACCATCCCATCATCTTTTAGTACAGAACCTAGGATGGTCAATAGGGGAGAGTAGGGGGGTCATTCCGGAGACTGGTGATTTATGGTTATTTCGATAGATCTTGTTTAATGAAGTTCGTCATAACTTCTAAGACGAAAAAACAACTAAATATTAATTAAAACAGTATATGATGAAATCTATATGGATTACACTATGATGGTACAATACTGGGCATTATACCATTCTTCTTATATTTACTCTTCATTGCAGAAATTTGAGAATCACTGGGAACATCATCTTGTAATGCATCATTCATCTGCTTCAACTTCAACACTGCATCTTTCGGCTTTACTGTGCCGTTAGTTTCACAAAACATCGAAACTAATTGTTTCTTGTATATGATTCCAATCCCCTTTTTGTACTTAATTGTACTATTGTGCCCTTTTTTTTCTTAAGTTTCACTGTCAATGCAGTAATCAACTGAAGAATCTCTGATTCTGATGTTATGTCAAATCGATTGGGATATCTTCGAATAAGTTATTCCCTCATCCAAACTACACCCACGGTTTAGCTTAATCGCTACATTTAAACCATCACAACCACATCTAGAACATTTTAAGCATGTTTCATTGCTACATCGTTTTCCTTTACAGGTACAAGTTAACTTTTCCATGTTGATTCTCATGGTCTCGGATCAGGTCATGGGTCTAGTCATAGATTTGGTCAAGCGGCCTAGACCTCGAACATAGTGCCAAACATCATCTTTTTGTCTAAATAAAACTACCCACACCTTTCTGAAATAACTATTTTTTTTAATCCACATCAAGCTGCTGGGTTGGCTCGTGTGGCAGGTGTTAAATTTTACTGCAGAAAAACACAGAATGCAGGCTCGTGAAACTTTTCTGCAGAAGTAATATTATGCAAGTATGTGAAACTGGGCGGTTGAAATACATAGTATGCATGTACATGTAATTTTACTGTTGAAGTACATAGTAGGCACGCGTTGAAACATTGGCAATGGATTCATAATGGAGAAAACGAAGTATAATAATAAAGATGAAGATGGCTGGTAAAATGCAAAACATTTTATTTACTAGGTTCGAATTTTCGTAATAAACTTATTCAATCTTCAGCGAAATCTGAAAATAGTGTTGCGAAGATATTTATTGACTAAAATTATATTATCATTAATCATGAGTTCAAGGTTTGAAGATCCTGTAGTAACAATAGAGAAATCGTTATATTAAATATTGTGACCTGTGGTTTCAACATGTGAACGAATGGATGAGCGGCTGGGTTAAGTAATGGACGTTCGGTTCTATTTGATACTCCTAAGTGTTCACAGACTCTAGTTTTTAAGTCGCATTTTGTTTTGTCAATATACGTTACCTTACAGTCAGTACACGTGTACTTATACACGAGCTATGAACGTAGAAGTTTAGGTATTTGATCTTTTTTATTGAAGTAAGTGTTTAATGCGAAGACTAGGTCTGTATATTAGACTGAGCAAAATTTGAGGGAAGAAGTTTGTTATTAAAGAGAAGAGTTGTTTTTTTACTTTGTAAGGCTTGTGAGCCCATAACAGGACGAAAGATAATGAGGGAAATTTTGGGGACGGTGTGCACAGTAGCAGCTGATTGGATTTTTTGATTTAGGAAATTGTGTGTAACATTTGTTAGAAAATCGGATAGCCATTATTTAACAGGTGTTCGTACGGAAGTGTAATTTCTCAGTGTAAATATACAGTAATTCGAGCAAATATTAAAAATTATGTTTAACAGTAGCAGGACTAGATTACGTTTGAAGTAGTTGGGGATGAAATTATTGAAATAAGTATAAATACCTGTAGAAGTGATTTTGTGATAAACAGAGGTAGAAAACTGTTTATTTATTTGTAATCCTGTTGTCTAGAAACGATAAAGATTCATTTTCTTCGAATTCGTATGTGAGCTTGATATTGAGACCACTTAGGAGTATCAAATAGAACCGAACGTCCATAACTTAAATACAGCCACTCATCCATTCGTTCACATGTTGAAACCACAGGTCACAATATTTCATATAACAATTTCTCTATCATTACTACAGGATCTTGAAACCTTGAACTTAAAATTAAAGAAAGTTTACTCGTAACTAAAGACTACCCTACTCTTCATGACTATAATGTTCTATAATATTTTTGTTGTTTTTATCCTTCCGTTTACCACTTTACTCAGTTAACTAAGTAAACTAATGATTAATGATAATATAATTGTAGTTAATAAATATCTTCGTTACACTATTGTCAGATTTCGTGAAACTATATTGTAGACGTACATATCATGTATAGTCGTCATGTTCGTGAAACTATACTGTAGACGTACATATCATGTATAGTCGTCATACTCTGTACATGGTGTCATTCAAAACTATCACTTGATCGTTAGCTAGCCTTCATAATCCGTTCATAGCTGTCAGACAATAGTGAACATATGAAGCAGAGTTTCGAGAAAGCATAAAATGAAATATTCAAAAACCGACTCGTGAAATAGGTTGATCAATCCTACACAAATGAGCTAAATGGTCATTACAGTTGAGAGAGGAGCTGCTTTAATGAAACTACTGTTTAACTACAAAACACTATTGTTCGATAGTTTGGATGATTCATTTCATTATTACGTAAGGACGTGCTTGATAATAGTGAAATAATAGAAATTACTTAATTATATGTTTTAAATACTAGCTCGTTTCAAACTTTCGGTTGGCAATAAACTTAAGTGTAGGCGTAAGTTCGTTAATATCTGGTGCGTAAATCGATCACGACATTACGATATAATTCTAAAAATTAAAAGACCCCAACTGTAAAGTGTATAAATTTCCAATTTTACAAGAAGAATTGGAAAACGACATGTTTTAAGAATTCGGTAACCCTCATAAGATAGTGATTACAGCTAGAGAACATCTTTTTTCTATGAAATGCTATAATAATGCACTTAATGTTTTATCAATAGAGAATTTTAATTATTATCCAATTTAGTTAATACATTTTACCAAAATCAGAATGCTAGAGTGAGCAACACCTGATTACGTGAGACTTCTGAAAGTTGTCCTTTTTCAGCCACTGACTAATATGTTATTTTTATACCCAACAAGAAAAAGGCAATTTATGGTTAAAATAGAAAAACGAACTTTTAAATTTTCAAAAGAATAGAAACACACTTTAAGGTTTAACGATACTTTTCTTATTTCTCCGACAAAAGAAAAAAACTATCAAAAACAATGTAAGTGCCACCTATTAAAAACAAGAAATTATATTTATGCATTCTACTTGCTCCCAATGGCTCAGAGGTAAGTGTAAAGACTTATAACACTGAAAACTAGGTTTAGATACCCATGGTGGGCACAACACACATAGCTCATTGTGTAACCTTGCGTTTAACGATAAACCAATCAACAGAATTCTACTTAACTTTTTTCAATCATACGAGAATACAGTTCTGTATTAATCAGTTATGTTATGTAATTATTCAAGATGTTCTATAAATTAGGTAACGAAATTAAACTCAAAGTTTGGCATTACACTGTTATTGAAACTTGTTATCAATATGGTATTTTCAGAACTCTGTATTTATGCCTTATAGGTTGTCTAACAAATCGATTTTAAATGCCACGATGAAGCCATAGGTCTCTCTGTAAATCCAAAAACAATGTCCAAATGTGACCCCCGGTAGGCAGTTGTAATCCATAAACATTGTTCTTTGGACTCGTTTATGGCCAAAAGCTACCCTGGAATAAATGTTTTCAAATACGCTAGTTACTCATGTGGGAATAGTGCTCCTTTTTATTTTCTTCGTCGGAACGACTGGTGTTTTTGGTGCTTATTTCTTTGTTTATTCTTCTACTTGTCTTCGATTGAGAGAGAACGGTGTTTTTATTGATATACTGATTTTCTCTAGCAATACTTGTCTTCACGGAAGAGATAATAATTCTATTGTGCTTCTCTATTTTCCTTTTACCTTTAAAATAATTTCTATTTGTGCGAGAAGGAGAAGAGACTGTTTTTTAACAGATAGTTTGCTATTTTTCGATTTTTTTTCTAACAGTTATCTCTCTCTGTAATATCCCGAGAAAAAGACATAACACTTGTAACGAACATGAAACTTTGCTATAATTCAGCAAAGATTTTACAAGCCGCAACTTACGTTATTGATCCCAGAATATGATTTTGAAGTTTGACAAACTCCAATATCTAAAGAAAGCGGAGATTAACATTCCTCCAAGTGTTTTACTTTAATATCTCATAGGGTAAGTTTATAAGCCTAACGTTGCAAAATGTTTGCTTGAATTTTGGTAATTATCTGGTAAATGTTGCAACAGCAATTACTTTTTATCCAAATTACTGTATAATTACCAATAGCAAAATTCTTTATTAATATTTACTACTAGGTCCAAATTTTGGGATTCAACTCAGACCTCTACAAAAATATCTCAGAAGCAGTTACAAAGTCTCAAGGAATCGTCGGGATGGCACTCCTTATCCAGGTCAGTATTCGTTTTGTATTTATTGTTCAATATTAAAATCATTGAGTTAAAATACCTTTTTTAATGAATGTGATGAAAATAAACCTGAAATATCAAAACTGTATGATTTACCATTTTTGTACCAATGTTTTGAGAGTTATCAGCTATTTTTCACGCAGAAAAAAAAATACATAAATTGTATATTAATATATTTTTCCTGCTTTAAAACATGTACAGTCTCACTATGATCTACAATTTTTAAACCTTCTATGTGCCTTGTAATATTTAGCTCATGTTTTAATATTTCTTTTTTCACTTTTCTAAATTCCTCAGCATATTTCTTAAATCACGGTCCGGACGTGGCATGTGGTTAGTGCATCGAATTGGGAATCCTAGTGTCTCGGGTTCGAGACGTTGCGCTACGAAATACGCTTTGTATTTTCACCTGTGGATGGGTTACAAAAGTGATAGTCAATCTCGTTAGTCACTTAGGAGTAGCTACTTAAGGCGGCGGTTGCTGCCAACAGATTGTTTTCGCTCTTTGCGCAGTTCACAATTAAGAACGTCTATGCCTAAATTATAGGGGTCTCTGACCATAGTGTACATAAAGATTTCGATCAGTCGATCAAACAAACAATCAAGCATCTTTCATCCATTTCCATATGCCATTAGTAGTTAGTGTTTACCCTTATTCACCATTATTACTATAGGTATCTACTTTTCTGACTATAAGCTGTTCTTCCATACTCTTTAAAAGTCATTGAATTACACTGTGAAAGGTTCGAGTTCGCAAACACTGTTTTATAAGTTGAAAGAAGTTTCACATATCATATAAAGACGTGCCAACTGCACTTTCGGGTACATATGCTGTTAAATCATATACGAGTTATTATTTCTCTATCAAACTGGTTATCGATGGCCATATAAGTTTTCGATTAGATATGGCACTTTTAATATTGAGTTGCATATAATAAAGTTTAGTTATATCTATAATATGTGAATAAAGTGGTTTTGACAAAAAAACAAAATAAGATTGATTTCTTTAAAACTAACAATTATGACTGATTAATTTTGCCAATGCGGTAATTTTTCTGATAAAGCCAATGCAGAAACGTTTTAAGAACCTTAAAAAAATTATAACAACATCTTATTTATTACTAGTTTGTTAAGGTAATAAACATACCTTCCCAGGGTGTAATCGCAATGTTTTTGGAATGTGTCATTCATAAAAATGGACCATCTAACAGAAAAAAAAAATATTATTATTTTTTTAAGAGAGCAGTTGACTTTACTTTTACCAAGATTATTCTCACTAGTTCAGAGCTATCCCAAAATGCTTACTAGTTTTGGATAATATGTTAATTTAGCCATAATATAACTAGTTTTGGATAATATGTTAATTTAGCCATAATATAACTAGTTTTGGATAATATGTTAATTTAGCCATAATATAACTAGTTTTGGGTAATATGGTAATTTAGCCATAATGTAACATATAAAAAATTGAAATATGAATATGTTATTATATCCTCTTTTTTTTCTTCTAATTATGCATTGATACCACCCGCACAAAACTAGTAAACATTTTGGAGTAACTCTAAGACAGTTAACATATTCCTGTTAATAATAAGATCAACTGCTGTTTTTACTACAAAAATTTAATATAAATTTCACCAATTATTGTTCGATTTCAAAAATATTTGCTCCTAATGGAAACTTAGTATTTTTTCTGTTAAATTTGCCCATTTTTGTTGCGATTTCTTCACAAATGAATCCGATATTCCAAAAACATTACGATCACCCTTTTAAATAACATAATTCGTCTTCCAGTAATTTATCATACAAGGAATGATACGTATAACAGACAGATCCGATTCAAAACTACTGAAAGCGCATTTACCAATTTAATGTTTATATTTTGCAAGAAATTAAATGATTTTGGGAAAGATATCAAACCTGGAAAACTCAGGTGTTTATCTGCACGCATGTTCGTTTGAATTTAAGCACAAAGCTATACAATGGGCTATCTGTGATCTGCCCACTAGTGGTTTCGAAACCCAGTTTGCAGCGTTGTAAGACAGCAGACATACCGCTGTGCCACTGGGAGACTACCTGCACGTAACTTTTTTCAAATTTTATTCTGTGCTCTCTCCAACAAGTTGCTAGAAACGAAATAATATCTAACAATGTGGGAAAAAATAAAGGTTCAATAATACCTAACAATAGGAGACAAGGGAAGGTAAGATAATTCAAGCTTTTAATTATTTCTTATTATTCGAACAGAAACGTTGTCAGATAACCATGGTGACATTTGGTAGAATCTGCGTCTAACCTGTTTCTATAATGTATATTTAATGTACCAGACTCTGCAAAGACGCTTTACTTTTTTGTTGTTGTTCTGTCATGCGTAAAATCGACCAAGAAACTTGATATTTTTGGAACTCTATTTATTAGCTTAAAAGCGAACATCTTACATCAAAGCATCTATGTGAAGAATAATCTACTAGAAGTTACCCAGCTTGCTTTAAAAACTGAGAAAAGAAGTTTTGGCTGATATTTATGTGAAATGTAATACTTGTCCATTAAAATATGAGATGGTTGGCAATTTTTAACCCTTGTTTTAAGATATACTATACCTTAGATATGATGGCAAGACTACGCCGTTCCCAAGAGACTGCAAGAAAGCAGAAGATATGGAAACATATATAACAGAGTTGTAGAGTATATTTACTCATTTGGATATCACGTTGCAGCACCCTTTACAAAAACCATAAATATATCTGTTTCTTAATAAACAAAACTAGAATAGTTTTACTATATTTTTAAGGGAACTATGTATGTAAATGTGTGTGTGTTCAAATAATTTGTTAATGAAAACTGTAAACAAATATTATCTGTAAAACCTTGGATTACTGGAGTTATCAACACTTTGTATAGTGCTAGAATTTAGCAAAAGAACTAGACTGTGGGTAACGATCAAAATTAAGAGAAATTACATACTCTAGAATGATAACAAATAAAAGTATTCATGGATACAAACCTTCTTATCAATATGTAGGTTTTGGTCTTCTTAAGGAATTTTATAGAAACTATTCATACATTTCTGGAATATATGACATGTAGTATGCAAGTTTACTAGGACACCTCAACAACTGCCATTTTATGAGCTTCACACACAGAATAATCATTGATTTGCTATAGAAATAAACTTATAATTATTGCAAATTAATCTTACATGAAACTATTATTATAAAATTAGCACACAAATAATGTCTCTAAGTTTCTTTACTGATAACATTCACTGTGGCCCACATTTAATATCAATAACAACCTGGCAGACTTGTGGCCCCGTACTTATTTTAACCTTTTCCAAAATTTTAAGCTACAATTGTTTCACCTCAAAGGCATAACAAATCAAACGTACAGGAACAATGGGTTTTCTAATACACTTGCACACTACTGTACTTCATCGAATAAGCTCTGACTCTTATAATCACAAAATAGAGACACGCATTAATAGATAGATTTGTGGTGTCAAAATACACCTAAGGTGTGAAAACGTTGTGTATGAAATTAAAGTGATAGTATAGAAGACTGAAAGTGTGGGTATTGATACAATAATTAGTCACAATACTTCTTCAAGTGCGGAGACTTGATATTATGACATCATTATCAGGTACTTTGGCCACTCTTTTATTACATTGCCACCCAGTGGCACAGCGGTATGTCTGCGGACTTACAACGCTAGAATCCGGGTTTTGATACCCGTGGTGGGCAGAGCACAGATACCCCATTGTGTAGCTTTGTGCTTAATTACAAACAAACAAACTTTTCTCACATCACATAGAACAGCATGCCATAGTCGCTTCTTTATATATGTCTGCATTTTGGTGTAGATATCTAGATGACGTTTCTTGGCGGTTTTACTTGTCAAGATGAATAAACACAATTTTTTCAACACATAAACAATCTACATAACAACATACAATTCACAGTAAAAAATGAAAACAACTACACGATAATTTTTTTAAACTTTAACATCACACGAACCTCCAAGACTTCACCACTAAAATTCATAGAAAAACACATACAGCGGAAATTGATGTTTTTCTAATCATGCAATTCACCAGAAGCTAGGCACTCTAAAAAGCATCCTAATCTACACCACAGTAAACATCGATAAAGAAGTTGCGCACTTAACTCAATGCTTTACTAACGTTAACCAGTTCCCTACTAAAGTAGTTACAGAAACTATTAACAAATTTAAGATACATAGACAAGAGGCGTTTAATAAACAAATTTAAACATTCCATAAGACAAAGGAAACCTAATCACTTGCACTATCCCATATACAGGAAATAATAACATACCTCTATCAGAAATTTCAAAAAGACTAGAACATTAATATAACCAAAACCTAGCAACTAGATTAATTTTCATTCCTGGAATGAAAATTAAACACATGTTAAGAAAATTGTATAACGAACCCAACCCACTTCAAGGAAACATTTATAAGATAAGGTGTAACAGTTGCCCAGCCTTTTAAATAGGTGAAACAGGATGTGACTTGAAAATCAGGTTAAAAATCACCAAAATTTCCCTTACCAAGTCCATGAACATATGAATAAAGACAAACAGTTTGTCTGAACAGAATGTCATAATACTTGAAATTGAACCTGGCATTAACAGAAGAAAAATCAGAGAAGCTGTATTAGTAAAATCGAACAATCTCACAATTAACAACTATCCAGGCACATCTATATATGTCTTTGCATAACATGTTCTGTAGTTTTTCTTGTTGTTTATATATATATACACACACACTTTTGTTTTGTTTTTTATTTCTGTTTAACCATAAATAAATAATCTGTCAATTCACGCGGATTGATATCTACATGCATAAGTAACCACTATCAATTCTAGAATTTAAATACATTGTTAGATTGTTGAATGTTGATTTAAATAATAATTCGTTCTTTACCGTTGAAACTTATGCACTTGAGAATGATCGCACCAGTGAT